TTCATTGAATAACACTCACCTAAAACTCGGCAGAATCTTCCCAACAACGTAAAATAAGGACTCTGGGCTAAAAGCAGCCTGGCTACCTTGAAATAAAACACACAGTGTCTTTCTAAACTTTTTCACCAAAGACCTGGAAAAGTGGCAGGGATGATGGGACTCTTAGCATTTAGTGAGAGGCTACTATTTCAATACACAATGTTCAATTGTCTAAAATTCAAACAAATGAAGACATAAAAAGGGTGTGGTCTCTTCTGAACTAAGTCTAAGAGTTAAGAGCATCTCAAAACCGCACATAAACAGCAGTAATTACTGACAAAACTAGTTTTTTAACACATAGCGAACTCTGAGTTTGCCAAGTACTGTCATACTTGTAGAATAAAGCAATGGGTAAGTTACAAATCAATTAGTTAAGAATGTTCATTTCAAAAAAACTTAAAATGAGGAACAGAATCTCTTTCTCCATCTCCTGCATTTTTTCTTCTTAGCCCTCACTAGGAGCACTTCCCAGACCTCAGTGTTGACCATCTGCTCATCCCTGCCTCACAGAGTTCGTCTGGACTCAAGGATCAACACTCAAGTCTATACCAATGACTCTCAAAGCCAAATATGAAAGCCAGATTTTTTCGTGACTGCTTTGATTCAGGTGTCTCCCAGTTCCAACACAAATTCTCTACTGCTTTTCCTCTTGTCTCTTGAGACGCTGTGTGCACTACACCTGCTCTCTGCATCCTCCCTGCTGTCCCTCTATATCCGATCGCCCCTTCTCTCACAGGAATACAACTTCCACTTTCTCCTTTGAGTGTGTCCAACTTCTGAGAAATTTCCTTAAAGAGAAAGGGTAGTCCTTGTTAAGCCCTTCTTCTTCCAGCTAGAATGAGGACAAAATGCTGGTGGCTCCAGCGTCACCCTGGACTCTGTGGATGAGAGCCTCACCCCAGGGAGGGTGCAGCAGAAAGCCAGGAGCCTGATGGTCGTGTGAACTAAACCTAGATGGATAACCTCCAACTCGACATGAGAAAATAAACCACGAATGTTCAAGTCACTGTCAGTCTTGGTTTTCTGTGCACGGAGGTAAACTGATAAATGTCCTCCACTTCAGACCATGTCTGTCACTACAGCTGCCATACTCACGGACACCTGCCTGATGCCTCCGAGGATCTCGGTATCTTCCTTCTCAACCCTTGTCATCCAACAGGTTCCTACTTTTTACTTCCTAGTCCCTGAACCCTCTTCCTGTGTTTGAGGAGCCCCACCTGAAGAGTCTTGTGGGAGTCCGAGCCTGCCTCCCACTATGGAAGCTGAAAAGGCCAAATACTTGCTTTCTCAGCACCCCTGGCAGCCAGGACTCAGGCACATGGCCTAAGTTCGGCCTCTGTGAAGCAGGAGCTAGTGATGCAAAGAAGCCGAGACAGTGCCAAACCTTCCTGGTGGCCAAGAGCACCATCAGGAGGGCAGGGACAGCAGCACCCAGCCGGCACTCAACTCCAACCGTGCGGACAGTGGGAACTCCACTGTGGCCCTGGGCAGGGGTCCTGATGAGACATCCTTATGCAGGCCTGGACTCCAGACCCGATTGTCTACCCATCCAGTAACGGTGAGCTCACCAACACACTTTCAGGACATTCCTTTCCTGCCAAAATGGTCAGAGGCAACTTCTGCAATGTGTAACTACACCCTAAATGACACTAACACATCAAGTGCTACTAATTCTTCCCGAACTTCTGTGCACATGTAGTTCTTCCTTGTCATTTTACCGTTTCCTCTAACCAGTTACTCTAAAGCGTGAAGCTTCCTTGAACACAGGCACGTTCCAGCTCATCCACATGCTGCTACCAAAGTAAGCTCCTGACACAGCGCTTCCAGTGAAATCACGCCCTCCTGCGCCCGTGCCTGGCGTGGAGGTTCCCGCCCAGCCTGGCCTGCTGCACGCTCCGTGCTGCACACTGTTCCAGCACGGTCTTCTATTCTCCCTCAGCCGTCAAGACTTTCACAATATGATACATCTTTAAACCCAAATGAGAACATGGCTGCACTGGATTTGAATGCATATTGGTTTGGTTCTCAGTAATCACTTGTCAATTTTTTCCCTTCCACTTCAACTAAAAATTGACTGTACTGCCTCCAAAAGTAATTTGATAACTACAAATTAATTTAATTATCCAAGACCAGTTTACCTCTAACCCTATCAGACAAACCAGTTCACAAAGCCTAATGACACTCGTGCTGGTCTACACCCAGAACTGTATTTCATACACACGTCACTTCTAGAATGTCCAAATCCACAGACTCAGCAGGCAGACAGAGTACTAAATTTATCCTGCCTATTAGGTAAATACACACAAAAGAATTCCAATAATTATTAAGACTGCCACCTAGGTACTTAAATGCAATTTTTAGTTTTTTTTTTTAAATGCATGTGCCTATTAACTCACATAATGCAACGGAAATCACCAGTAAGGGTCACTTGCTCAGTAGCTCAAAGCCAGAAAGGACACATTCTTAGACTCACACGTTGTTGTCCCCCCGGCTCCTGGTGTGGCACGTCTGCCTTCCTGCTGTCTCCCCATTCCTTGACTCCACGGCCGGCAGTTCTCTGAAATAACAGCAAAACTGCTCAATGTTACTACTGTAAAAGGAAGGGAAGAAATTGTTTTTTTTTAAAGTACTAAGGCGGTGAAGAAATTACTCTGAGACCTGCGTATGGACTTCGAAAATGTCATCTTTCAGTTTCTCATTAAAACTATACTCAGTGCAATCTCTTACACTGAGTTTCTTCATTAAGTCTCCTCATTTACTCCAAGAAAACAATACAAGCAGATAAGTTTGCAGAAATAAGCAAAGACCTCAGAGCAAAACCTCTGTTCAAAAAATCCCCAATCCTCTCTCTGCCCTGCGCCCATCCCCCACCACATACACAATCTATAGATTGCGATCATTTCCTTTCAGGGTGTTTGCTCCCAAGTGTTCAATAATTTCCTCAAAATAAAAACGAATCATGAAACCAACCACACTGTTTAAATACGCCCCACAGAGTCACATGGAGAATTCAGCAGTGACTAGAATTTCCTCCTTGAGCAAGACTAGACAAGCCGAGGTCAGTGCCTTTAAGGAGAGATCGAACATGGCTTCTGCTCATCTTACATTTTCAAGATCTTCTAAATCTCTGACCTTATGATCATACTTAAGAATCAATAATTGAACTAGGTTCTCTGAACAAGGTTCCTTATAGCCCAGGAGTCTGCAAACTGTGGCCCACAGGACAAATCTGGCCCTGGACCAATGAGCTTTTATTTTTAAAGTGGCTTTTATATTTCTGAAGGGTTGTGTAAAAGGGAGGGGTTGCTGAAGGGAGGAGACTGGATGTGGCAAAGATTAAAAAGATGTATTTAATCTGGCCTTTTACAGAAGTTTGCTGGCCTGTGCTCAAGCCTATTCGAGAAGCAACTGGAACCAAATAATAACAACAGCTAGCAGTTATTTGCTGCCAGGCACTGTTCCAAGCACTTTGTACAAACTGTGTAATAGCTTCCCAACCACCCTGTGAGGTTCACTACTATCCCCCATTCCACTGATGAGAAAAGCAAGGCACAGGGAGCTGGGGTACCTGCCCCAAGTTCCTAGACTAGAGTTAGTGGCAGAGACAGGATCAGAACCCACAGCCGTCAGGTACTCAGGCTCTGGCTGTAACATTACCTGAGGGACTGAAGGATGGCATTCATGAAACACGTGTTCCCCAAATTCCGCAGGCCTGTGGCACAGATGGCAGTGGCGCTTCCCTGTAAATGGAACAAGAGGCGGCCATGAGTAACGCCAAGAGAAGGCCAACTGTTCCAAACATCAAAGTGGAGCGAAGGGCTGAACTTGAAACTCTAGCATCAAGCCAGCTTGGAATTTATTCTTTTCAATCCAACAAATATTTCAAATTCCCTTTCTACTGTCTGTATAAGTATCTGGATATTTTTAGAAGGCTGTTTCTGATCCTAGAACTGTTCTAAATGGGAGTATCTTATGGAAGCTTATGGGAGAATCGGCATTACTAAGTACTGTGGAGTACACAATGCAAAATCCAGGCAGATCCTTCAAAGAAATAAGTTTAGGACTTAATGCTTTTATAAGATTCTATTAAAGCTACTACAAATTGGAAAAAATATAAATACATACATCCCAAGTACTTCTGTCCCCCACCTGTTAGTTCTAAGCCACGGAAATACATACATACATATTTTACTAGCAATGGAATACCAATCTTAAAACACCACCTGGACCTTCCTTAAAGACTAAGGTTTAGTTTTCTGATTAGCTGTACAAATGCACCACGATGTCTGAATACTACACATGGGAAGTCAATCTACCAATCCAAGCCGAAGCTTCACGTCAGCTCTTTCTTCCAAAGTTGTAACACTTTAGCTAACCGCATGTCTAAACATAGCTAGCATGATAGCAAGGGAGTAGATGCAGGTTGAAATTACTGTTGTATTTAGAAGTATTTAGTAATCTTTACATTTTGTTACTCCATTCATGGCTCATACATCTGGTAACAGCTGGACACCAGAATCAGGAAGTGTATTCTTTCATGGTGAAACTGTATTAATGCAGTCCTAAGAAAGAAAACTTACCCAAACTTCAGACCCCTGGAGTTTGCACGGGGGACCTTAAACAGAAGGAAGCAAGGATCTCTGGGATCCTATAGAAATGGAGTAGTAAGGCAGCCGAGTAAGCGATAAGAACAAACACTTGCTAAGGCAGAGGAGCAGGGCAGCAATCCAGACAGAGGCAAGGCACTGACAGACGGACTTCCTGGGGAACTGAGTCGCATCAAGGATCATTAGTACAAGTGGCAAACATTCTGAAAAATAATCCAAGTCCAAGGCATACAGTTACAAAAGTTTACAAGGGGCAACATTAATGTTAGAACTGTCATCAAACAGTGACTAGATCTCAACCAATTCTTACAGCTGAATAAATTTTAATTACTTACATTTACTTTCAATAACTTGCTGTTTAGTGATGAGTTTTCCAAAAGTTTTCTTTTCCTATGCCTGTCAGCTGCGAAAGCTGAGCTATTAAAACATAAACAGACAGATGGTCAAAAAGATATTAGTACAGACACACTCCACAACAAGGTAAAGAATAAGCGTGGCTGTTTGAAGCATTCAGGGTGCGGAGCCTGGCTGCTCAGCCAGGCCAGGAAGGGACCCGCTGGGCCCACTGTGGCCCTCAAGGACTTCAAGTAACGCAGGAGCTCCACTTCCCCTAGAAATCCCCGCTGCTCCTCCGGTATGAGCTTTCCAGAAAAGCTGGCCAGGTACATGTGGCCTGTGAGACAGTCCCTCAAACACCACCACTCTCTCCTTCTAAATGATGGCGAAGCTTCCAACAGGAGCACACCCCTTCCTCGTAACCAAAGGACAGCCCTGGTCTGACACGATTATTCTGAGGGTTAACACTAAGTCTCAGACACTATGCTACTTCTTTCTTAAGTTTAATGAAGGTATCATGTTTTATTCGTATGTTGTAATAGATGACGACATACTGAGTTGGCAAAAATGATAAACACGTCATAGGCATATAGGCATACATAAATTCATTTGACTCAGCTATGGTACAAAGCATATTCTAAAAGAAACCCTAATTAGCACATAAGTCCTGAATTTAAATTATTTAAATTTTTATTGATGAAAGAGATATTTTGTTTGAAATTTACCAGAAAGTTACTCCTATCTTCGAAGCATCACTTTCAAACTGTTATGTATTAGGAGAACTGATCTAAAGGAAGTAAAAACTACTATTGAACAACACAGACTTTTAATTAAGTCTACCAGCTCCTTTCTCTATTCCAAAAGTCCCAGGCTAACCCAGAGTAAATACATAATTATTTTTCTTTCCAGAATTTCCACAGGAAATATAATGTCTTTGGAGCAACAGAGAATAGTGACAGTCAGTTGCTTCAAATCTCAAAATGTTCTTAGGAAACAAGTCTTCAGAACTGTGTGTGGGTCCCTCAGTGCCATGGTGACTACAAGACAAGAAAAGATCAACCCACTGGTCTGCGATGCTAACTTACTTCTTCACAAATCCTGTCAGTAAAGAAGCTGAGTCACAAGCACTGTGTATATACTACTTAATGACAATGCCTGGTAGTTGACTTTTAGTTTCAACTTATATAAAGCATTTAGCTTTTCAAAATGTAAGTTATTAAATTTTACCATCAGTGATTCTCAAAATGGCAGAATCCTTTAGATCCAAGCTGTTTAATATGGTAGCCACGCACTACATCTATATGCGGCTACATCAACCTAATTAAACTTAAGTAAAATTTAAAATTCAGTTCCTCGTCACACTAGCAATTTTTCAGGTGCTCAACAGTCACGTGTGTCTAGCGGCCACCTGACTGGACAGCACCAATCACAGAACATTTCTGTCGCACAGCACTGCTCTCGAGCGTGTGCACCACGGTCTGAAATTAAACACGACTGTAAGCACAGCTCTAACTTGTAGCGGTCATCATAGATTCCAGCCTGCATTTGAACATAAAAATAAACCCAGGTAATTTTCCTCGACATGTGAAAAGGACTGCAGGTAGATTTTTTTCCAGTGGGGACAAGTAGAAGTGTAGACAAGGTGATCTGTGACATCTTTTCCCTGGTGACGTGGTCGATGACAATAAAAGATTTGATCACTGCATAAATGCAAGCATATTCCTGAATGTCCTGTTTCTGTTTGACTTAGTTCTGAGGAAGTTATCTGGCATTGAGACGGCAGCCTTTCCTTAGAGAAAATTCTAAGTGGCAGGAAAAAATAACCTGGTAGTTACCCACTTCTCTAACAAAGAATCAGGTTAGTGAGATCTTTACAATGACATCGCCACATTGGAGAGTGATGTTACATAAATTACTGCAGGAATCTCCTACTTTGCAGTTAACTGTGAGAATTAGAGACAAAATTCAGTATTTTGGATCTGTGCATCTGTACCTGTGACTCTGATTCCAGACAGGGCTCCTGCTGCTTTGTTCAAAGTAAAAGAAGGGAGGAGGCTCTTTGAAAAAGAGAGGAAACACAAGACGACAAGCCAAAAAGTACTTAAACCCAAAGTGTTCTAATTGGTTGAGACTTTTAAAGGATCAATTCCTTTTTCTTTATCAGCTTATAACCTATCTGGTGGAGACATGCAAGAGACTTTGGTTAACCAAAGCTGGACAGTGTTTCACGCAAAGAACTTGGGTTATTCCCCCTCAGTATGCAATTTCAAAATACTCTATCGGCTTTACATGTAAGTTTGCTAAGGGATCTCATTTCTGGTGTGATCTCACAATACTGTCCAAATAAATTAGATGGCACCTGACAATCAGGAGTGAATTAGACAAATTCCACCTGAGTCAGTGGTCATTCTAGGCCATGCTTTTACCCACGGCAGCTTCAAAGACCCCTGCTGCCGGGGCTTCTGTTATTACTTGAATTTAGGGTCCAGCGAGTTTTATGTGACTAACCGATTTAGCCACAGCAAATAAAAAAAAAATACTATTCACATAGTACTTTAACTTCCTTATGATGACAAAGCATTTCACAGCTTCCTGTACTTTCAAGTGATACATACCGTCCCTACCAAAAAAGGGAAAGCAACTAAGACCCTTGTGCTGTAACACTGATGCAAAGTGAAGAACAATGTAATTCATCCTAATTTCCCTTAAAAATGATAAATTTCAGAGCTTCTAAGAAGACCTTATAGTACATTTCATAAGGCTTTTCTAACAACAAAGGAAACTGTATAATGATTATTTTGTTTTCTGCCCTTCCCGTGCACTCCCAAAATTCCCCTTGCAAATAAACTGGGGAGCTGACAGGTTGGGGGGGTGATAACTGAGAAAACGGGCTCTGGAGCCCTCGGATACGGATACAAACGTTAAATGACATGAACGCTGAGCTATGATCGGGAACCGTGGGCATTTTCAGACACCCAAATCTGAGATTTAAGTCATTCACATTTCAATCACACTAAAAACATGATGAAGTATACAACCCACAAACAAAAATCCGGCTCAGAAATTCTACAAGACCCCTCAATCCCATTCCTCCCCTTCTTTCCCAAGGCCTGTTACTTACTTTTCCAAGTTCTGTAAGTGTTCTCTGATTTTCTGTACCAGTCCCAGCTTGGTGCCACTGACCACAAAATCATCACAGCGATAACTACAAGGAAAATATTAATCAATGTGTGTACAGAGCTTGCGGAAACCACAGTAATGGAATCACTGAAAGGTCTGGCTGCTGCCAAGACGATCACATGGCTCTGCAGGCAGTTACTGTCACTGGTGAGTTGAAAGAGGACTTGGAATCCACGATGGGATGCTTTCTAAGAGCCTTTTTAAAAAGCCACGTAGGCAATGAACACTAACTTCTTTTCACATTTTTATTCAAAAGTTCTCCAATTCCTCTTTCAAAAATGAAATAAGCTGCTACATGTGTTATATTCTTTTCAGTGGTGTGTAATACACGGAAAATGAAACACAAAGCTCCAATCCTATTCTGGGAGCATGAAGCCTGAAGCTTTAACATCACGTGATCCTTCCCAACTCAAATTAATGGGGAGTTTGTGGGGAGGAGAGGTTTAAGAGAAAAGCAGGGAAAAGACAAACTGTGGAGATAGCTGGATAAAAAATGAAAAGCTATACGTTTTACACATAATTTAATTTAAATAAATTGAATTCAGATGGCTGAGAAGAATGCATCTTTTCATTCTGATGTGTTAGAAGACAAAAGTGTAAAAGAGTGGCTACATCTTTCAGGAAACTGACAACCGCTTTGAAGAAAGACATTTAAGGTATTCTTTAACACTGATTGTGTGTGTGTGTGTGTGTGTGTGTCTGTGCAAGACAATAAGCAAGTAATATAAGGAATCACACATAATAACTTCAACTTGTACATCAGCATTCTTTTTTTTTCCTGAAATAAGCCCAGTCTTAACAAACAACTTACAAGCTAGTACCAATACTGCAGCTTTGAATAAAACTACTTATTATAATAACTACTGAAGAATAATGACACTAACACGGTTGTTCTGAGCAAACAAAACTTTCAATGCATAGCAATTAGTAAAAGTTAGGTCATCTCTAGTAGAATCCAAAAACATTTCTCACATACCTGAAACCTGTCTATAAAAAATTGAAAAGAGGATGAGGGAAAGCCATTTAAAAACAATTACCCACAAAAGCATGGCTTGCATCTTTTATTCACAGGACTCAAACTATGAATGCTTTGTAAAACTTTAACTAAGATATATATGTAATTAGTCAATACCCCTCTCCCCATTAACTACCTGCGCCGGCAATCAAGAACCCCTGACGTGCTCTCCCAGTGCCTGTGCTCGACCCCTAACATTTCCACGAAGAGCAAAAGCTGCCTTTTACATCCTGGACCCTTTCTCTATGGTCAAATACGAGCAAAGGCAGGAGAATCCCTTATCAGTTTTATGACAAATACACAGAGGAATTAAATTCCTGAAAAGGTTTAATTCCCTGCTTCCTCTCGGCATAAACGTGAAGAGGGTAAGGTCTGCTCTGTAAACCTGGGCTTAAGGCACTTGGTTCCTCCCAGAACCCCAGGCGTTACTAACTCCTGCTCACGTTTTTTATGTTATGTTTGCATAAATAGATGCATGTATTTCAGCTAAAACAATGCTCAGTGTTCAAAACAAAAACACCACCAAATGCTAATGTTCATCTGGGAAAGGAAGTTTAAGAGCAAACACGGGTCACCTTTCATGTATTTACATGCTGCTGGAATAGCTGATTGAAACATGAACCCCTTAACCTCCAACAAGAAATGGCTGCTTTAAGACACGAATTGTTTCACATGATACGAAGTAACTAATTATTTCCTAATTAAAGTAGTTCTTTTTGGTGTGACATGGACTCAGGCTTTAACATTTGTTAAAGTAATATTTTCATACATTGAAATACAGATTTATTCATGGCTTGCTCCATTCTGAACTAACCTGGCTTAACCAGGTCTAGCTGCTCCCGCTCTCTGAATGGTCACCTTTCAAGCAAGTTGCTCTGGGCTCCAGAGCTGTGCTAACGTGGCTGATGCAACTGAGAAGCTGAATTTAAACATTTTAATTGACACAAAATTTTACTTAACAATTGAAGCAGTATACAATACTTCTCCATTAAATACAATTTTATGGTTTTGATAATACTATATTTCACTTTTATTATTATACAATGTAAGATGTACTGCCGTGCACATGGTGGGTGCACGTGTCATTTCTAGGATTGCACGTAAGCGTATCACCAGTCTAGTTTGTGTCAACACAAAGACTCAGTGCAAGTTATTTTTCTATGCAATAATGCAGCACCGTAATGTGTTTATTTGCGTATCATATGCATACAGCATGAGTTACAGTGACACCTATGTAAACTGTAACTGGTAGTTACATTAAAATACTTATTTGGGGGGTGGTAGAGTGCCTGCTTAGCATGCACAAGGTTCTGGGTTCAATCCCCAGTGCCTGCATTAAAAAAATAAATAAACACTTGTTTTAATTATAATATAATCAAATTATCCTTCTGGCTTAAAAATTAAGAATGAAAATTTTTTTCACTTCCAAATGAAGGCACACTAATGAGGCAGAATCAAGTGGAGAAGGTATATATCACAAATTTTATGAAGAATGGCAATTACAACTTACTGCAGAGGAGCAAAATTACCAAACTCTGTGGAAAAAAGTTTTAAGATAATAAAGTAGACAATATTGAGTCATTTTCAGCAGGTGCATAATAATTTAATGAGGAGTTGCCTCTCTATAGTCAAAACATAATCAATGTAGTTTTTCACAAAGAAATCAGAATGAAATGTATAGTAACAAAAAAAATTTCTCAGTGATTTTTAGGATTTGCACTTGTAATTCTGGCCAGCTATAAAACAGTTTGAATTCTTATTCAAGAAAGAAAATCATTTTCAAAAAAAAAAAAAAGGAAATCATTTTCAGATGGCAAGATGGAACAATAAATTATTATTTCAGCTAAAGGAATTATGTTTAAAATTTTGAGGTAAAGATTAAAAAGGATATTTCATAAAAAGTGAAAAATCTTCAATTGATCCACCAAGCAACTATTAGCGAATAAAAAACCTTTCTAGTAAGATCAATCAATTCAACATCTGAAATTTTTAAGTACTTTTGTTTTTAAGCTTTAGATGACTTTTACAAGACAAGAAATGGTGGCCAATTAACACTTTGGGTACACTTTGTTTCAAATGACTTCCAAATTCCAAATTGCAACCTTAAAAACAATCTCATGCTATAAATATTTCTTTGTCTTTTACATCTGTCACCTTCAGCTAGATTAAAAAAAAAAGTTAAGACAGACATATGGGATCAAAAACCCAGATTTACTGGAATCACTTCCCTTATTTGCTCTAGTGCGTGTTAACATATTGAAAATATGTGTGCTCTGAAGTAGACTATTATGAATGCAGTTATGAAAATTGTTAAGTACATGTGTACAAATGCTACGAATCATCACCAGTTTATGGAGCTGTTAAAAGAAATAGAAGATGATGAATTTAATGACGATGTGTTCTCTGCCAGTGTTCACTGGAAGTCATGGAAGAATTTAACAAAGGTTCACTGTACTGTTAACTCTAATGCAAGATTTTCTTGAAACCAAAGGCGCACTTGCCAGTATTCAGCAGAGAGAAAACATCACAGCGGGAGTCACATCTTCTCACCTGGATCACAACACACACGACTGAGCTCAGTTTACAAATCCCAGGAGAGAGCAAGCTTGTTTTTGACCTAGACAGGTACTAGAACTTGTTAAAATTTAAACTATTCGTAATATAAATCAATAATGATTTTTTACACACTTAACATGAACAAATACGTGTAAGATTTTAATGACAGAGCAGAATCTACAAAAAAATGAAGAATGCTTTGTCATACAGGTAAACTTACAGGTGATTTTCAGTTTACGTAATCGCCCTCAATAATACTGAGTTGTTACAAGAGTTAGTGGACTTACCCAACTTAGATACAGTTTTGAAACTGGTATGTTCTTGCTTCAGAGCCAAATCAATTATTCTAAAAAGATGAGTCAGTCTTGTCGATAGAGATGCAAATACTAAAGAAAACGGGGTTTTCTGGTACTTTACTCATTAATTGGAAAAAATTTAATAGTGTTTGTAATCTACATTTTTAACTGCAATTTTAATGACTCTAAATCCAGATCAAGCATTTCAAATGAAAAGTTAGCATCTGAATGGAGACACACTGCATGTATAAAATACATACTGGATTTTGAAGGTCTCATGAAAAAAAGATGCAAACTATTTCTAATAATTCTATATAAATTACCATGTTGACATGATAATACTTTGGACAACTGGGCTAAATAAAATATACAATTATAATTAATTAACCCATTTATCTTTGCTTCTTTAATGTGGCTACTTGAAAATTATAAATTACATATAGGATAAATTATTTCTGTTGGACAGCACTGCCAGCCTAAAAAATATCTAAGACACTAGCGACCTGCCCAATATCATAAAGAGGTAACAAGTATAACTTTACTGAATTATAAGAAATCAACTTTAACTGGACTTACTTTCACTGGCTTAACACATTTAAGTTTTCACAATTATCCCTATTTGTGAAGAGTCAATTTTAGGTCTTCTTACAGGCACTATGAAGGACATTTACTGCTAAGATTATAAACTGCATACTGCCTGAATCTACGGCGCTCTCTAAGTGTTAGCTGTAATGATGAAAGGAAAGCACCTGCTTCTATGGGTCAAAACTTCCAGAAGCGCCTGACAAGTGGTACAGGGTGGATACATGTGAGCTTCCTTCCACGGAGGACCCTAGGGCTGCCTCACAGCACTCTCTCCTCTAGCTGCCCCCATCCTCCTGTTTTGATTTCTTCTTCCTCCATGACCCAGAGGTGAAAAGAAAATTAGTAACAAAAGTAGGAAGTAAGTAAGAATTTAAATGCTGTCTGTTTGCCTTAGTCTTTAGCTGAGACATTGATTCAACAAGCTCTAAAAGGTCTCTTCCTGGTTTACCACTGTGTTGAAGCTACTAAGTCCGTATTATGCTTTCCTCCAACACCTGAAAACAAATGTAGCCACTCTTCTTAGTTTACCCGTCAGAAAGGTCACATCAGAACAAGACATACAAAAAAAGAACA